GTAAGTACCCAGATTGTCTATCGTCATGCGCTTGATATTCATATCCTAACACAAACCAGGGCTATCTGACTCACGCCTCGAATGCTTATGTCGAGGATGCAAATGCTCCATCGCCATTGTCGGAAGCTGCCGACATGGTGACAGAGCTTCTTGTTTCCGCTTCTGGAGACTTCTCCGAACAGAATGAAAAAGCCATTCGGAACCTAGTCGAGAAGTTCATTTCCTCACTGAGTTCTTCTGATGGCATTGATGCAGAGCGCAGGCAGATGCCGTTCACCGCAAAGAAGCTGGACCAGGCCATTCATGTCGGCTCCCAGAGGAACATGTCCTCCACCCTCGGCCTTGCTGGAGGTGATGTGGATCTCGAGTCAGCCAACTCCAGAAAGGTAGAGTCCCGAGTGGACCGCAAGAAGCTCGAAAAAGCAGAACGGAAGATTCGTGCCAAGCAGGAGAAGAAGCAGATGAAAACAGTGCAATACGAAGCATCCCGTCTTCTCAACCAGCCAGACAGCACCATGTCCTATGAAGAGTTCTTCATGGCTGTCAACCCACTTCAGCTGGGATCGGACTCGCAGTCTAAGAGCAAAGATATCAAGATTGACAGCATCGACATTTCCGTGGGCGGTCTCCGCATCTTAACCGACGCGTCCCTTACCCTGGCTTACGGACGTCGCTATGGTCTTGTGGGTCAGAATGGTATCGGAAAGTCTACTCTCTTACGTGCTCTGAGTCGCCGAGAGGTAGCCATTCCCAGCCACATCTCAATTCTTCACGTCGAGCAAGAGGTGCGCTTATCTAGTCAGCTCTCCCTCTGGCATTTGTTGCTGACATCAGTTTTCAGATTACGGGCGATGATACCCCGGCACTCCAAGCTGTTCTGGACGCGGATGTTTGGCGGAAGCGTCTTCTTGCAGAGCAAGAGGTGGGTCCCTCTCTATGACCTCTTCCGTTGAGAGTGAGTTAGCTGACGACTTGCAGAAAATCAGCAAACAGCTTGCAGCGATTGAAGTGGAAAGATCGTCAATGGCAGACACATCGAAAGATGCTGCCAGGCTCGACCATGAGAGAGAGGGTCTCGATATGACCTTGAACGACATTTATTCCAAGCTGGCCGAGATGGAATCGGACAAGGCAGAATCTCGCGCTGCCAGTATTTTAGCCGGGCTCGGCTTCTCGCCGGAGAGACAGCAATATGCTACGAAGACGTTCTCTGGTGGTTGGCGAATGAGACTGGCCCTGGCACGGGCTTTGTTCTGCGAGCCGGACTTGCTTCTGCTTGACGGTAAGCTCCGTGCCCCTCATTTCTCAGTCAGGTATCAATGTTGTTCTAACTTGATACAGAACCTTCAAACATGTTGGACGTGCCGTCCATTACGTTCCTGTCCAATTACCTCCAGTCATATCCCAGCACTATCCTCGTAGTCTCTCACGACCGAGCGTTCCTCAACGAGGTTGCCACAGATATTGTGCACCAACATTCCGAAAGACTGGACTACTACAAGGGAGCCAACTTTGGTAAGTATTCACCCTTTGGCCTCCAATGAGATTACTAATAGGCTGCAGATTCCTTCTACGCCACCAAGGAGGAGCGGAAGAAGATGGCCAAGCGCGAATATGAAAAACAAATGGCAGAACGCGCCCATCTGCAAGGTCAGTTATTCTTTTCCCTATTGTGGCATCTGGTTGCATGTTTGCTGACGAAAGACGCCAGCCTTCATCGACAAATTCCGTTATAATGCCGCCAAGTCGTCGGAAGCGCAGTCAAGAATCAAGAAACTGGAGAGAATGCCAGTCCTGGAACCGCCAGAGAGTGACTATGTTGTCCACTTCAAGTTTCCAGATGTTGAGAAGCTTTCCCCTCCGATTGTACAAATGTCGGATGTCTCTTTCGGCTATAGTAAAGACAAACTGCTCCTCACGAACGTGGAACTCGATGTCCAGCTCGATTCCCGTATCGGTATTGTTGGGCCAAACGGTGCTGGTAAAACTACGGTGCTGAAGCTATTGACGGGTCAACTTCAGCCAACATCTGGTTTGATCTCAACGCATGCAAGATTGCGAATCGGCTACTTTGCTCAACACCATGTCGACGCGCTGGATCTTACTACTAGTGCGGTGAGCTTCATGGCCAAGACCTATCCAGGAAAGACGGATGAAGAATATAGACGGCATCTGGGAGCGTAAGTTTTGACCCAAAATTTCTTCCTATTCCCAGGTAGTCGTGTCATGTCGACTGACATTCGTCTTTAGCTTCGGTATCACCGGAACTACTGGTCTTCAGCGCATGGAGTTGTTGTCTGGAGGTCAAAAGTCGCGTGTCGCATTCGCTTGCCTGTCCTTGACTAACCCGCACATCCTTGTGCTTGACGAACCTTCTAACCACTTGGATATTGAGGGTATGGATGCGCTTTCCGAAGCGCTGCAAAAATTCGAAGGAGGTGTGGTGATGGTATCCCACGATGTGACGATGCTGCAGAATGTCTGCACCAGTCTTTGGGTCTGTGACAAGGGTACTGTACACAAGTTTGATGGCACTGTCAACGCCTACAAGAAGATGATCAGCGCTCAGGCCAACGAGGCTGGTGTGGTAGCGCAACACTAGGGGACGATGTTGATAAGCTGTTCATACATTGACCAAATTTAAATCAAAGTCAGCTTCAAAGCTTGCAAAGCGGCTGATATCATAATCTTATCAGCCTTTAGTCTCCTTGAATTACTGTTGTAGATAAAGATTCGCCGCCGATAATATCTCAAGCACGGGTGGAGTGGATCCGTCAGCTGCCAGCCCCGTGAGCTTGAAGCCACTAATGTGCCCTGCAATACCAATAAACTGCCTTATCCACCTCAATTATCGACAACCTCGTGCGACAGCAGTAGACCACTGTCTGCTGTAGTCAGTATACTACCAATGCCTAGCTGTGGAAAAAAAAGAAACTTAAGCGATGAATCGCGGTGATGCAAACGAGGAGTTGGCGCCCGATGCCCCTTTGCTTCCAACAGAGCAAGCGGCCATTGATGACAATCGTCACGATGCCGCTGACAGTCAGATCTTGAGCTTGGACTTAGGGGACTCGGGCGGCCTATTTATTTGGGCCTTAACATTCTCAGCCGGTATCAGTGGGCTTCTATTTGGTTATGAGTAAGTTCTTTGGTATTTTGGACTCTTCTTTTTTGCCGAAGACGAATCAAGCAAATCCACACAACAAATAGACTGACATATACGTCCTGTACAGTACAGGCGTCATCTCTTCGACCCTCGTGTCTATTGGCTCCGATCTCTCAAACCGTGTCTTAACGACCCTAGATAAGAGCCTGATCACATCTTGCACGAGTCTCTTCGCTTTACTTGCGAGTCCCTTGGCTGGAATATTGGCAGATAAGCTCGGTCGTCGGAGAGTTATACTTGTCGCAGATGTTCTTTTTACTCTGGGAGCCTTGATACAGGCTATTACTGGCCAAGTATGGGGCATGATACTCGGGAGAAGTGTTGTTGGTCTAGCCGTCGGTGCTGCGAGCTTGGTTACTCCTTTGTAGGTCAACTGCGCATCTTCCACTAGGAAGGAAGATGGGGTCTTCTGAGACCACATGACTCTAGATCGTGAGGCTCGTTATTCTGACGAAATAACTGACCATCATCTTCGGCAGGTATATCTCTGAGTTGGCGCCTTCCCATGCCCGAGGAAGACTCGTGACTATCTTGTGCCTCTTCATCACCGGTGGTCAGGTTGTAGCTTACATCGTTGGCTGGTTGTTCTCTACAAGCACCAGTGGCTGGCGCTGGATTGTTGGCCTTGGAACTCTCCCAGCTGTGCTGCAATTAGCCATCGTCCTTGTCTTACCTGAAACTCCCCGATGGCTGGTCCAGGCGGGGCTTGAGGCAGAGGCTCTCCATGTGTTGTCCAGGGTCTATCAGGGCCACTCTGACAACCATCAGATCGCTAAGCAGGTGGTGCGAAGTATCCAGCTCGAGGTAGCTGAAGAGGAAGAAGAGATGGACCGCATCAAATCTAGTACCAATGGGAGTAGGATACCGTGGCTTGGGAACGTTGCGCAGCGTGCTCAAAATCTCTTTCGCGTTGGCGGAAATAGAAGAGCATTGATAATCGCAACCATGCTGCAAGGACTACAGCAACTCTGCGGCTTCAACAGTCTCATGTATTTCTCGGCGACTATTTTCTCCATGCTCTCCTTCTCCTCGCCCACCCTTACATCTTTATCGGTGGCTATGACCAATTTTCTCTTTACGCTGTTGGCATTTGCGTTGATCGATAGGATTGGTCGGCGTCGCATTCTGTTATATTCAATACCTGTCATGACTGTATCACTAATTATCTGTGCCTTGACCTTCGCCTCCATGGAGCTGCCAGGATTTTCTTCTGAGCCGCGATCGGCGGCCCAATCCGACAATGGCTTCACGAATAAGTCGTTTCTTCCAATCGCCATACTTCTCTGCCTCTCTGTGTATACCGCCTCCTATGCTCTTGGACTAGGCAACGTGCCCTGGCAACAGTCAGAGTTGTTTCCGCTGAATGTGCGTTCCCTTGGATCAGCTCTCGCGACTGCAACGAACTGGGCGTCCAATTTCATTGTCGGACTCACTTTCTTGCCCATGATGGATTGGCTTTCTCCGGGTTGGACATTTAGTGTCTATGCAGGCGTTTGTGTTGTTGGATGGTTTGGCGTCTGGGCCATCTACCCGGAAATGAGCGGTCTTAGCCTGGAGGAAGTCAAAGGCCTTCTCGCCAACGGTTGGGGTGTCAGAGAAAGTTTGATAAGGAATCGCGGTAGAGCGCAAATGGGTTAGACTGAACTTGAGTCTAGGTCTATGAGCAGACATCTACTTAGGTCTTGTTGGCTTCTATTCTAATTGAATGACGCACTCAACCAGAATTTTTGAGAAGCTTTGGCGAGAGGATCTGCCAGTAACTTCTGGAGAAGGATGTCATGACGATCTCCCCTGGCCTGATCGGATTACCCATTTTGTGTCTCTCGAGTCCCTCTCACTGGTTGACACTAGGAGCCATAGTTGCCATCATCACTTCTTTGACCGCATCATCGGCCCATTCTGGCTGGTCTCTGAAGTAATAGTTCTCACCGGTTATTTCCACTGCACAGCCGTGGAGGCCGGTTGCGGGAACTCTGGTGCCTTTCGAGTCAACCATCTCCTCGCCATCTACAAACGCCAGGGCTATCTTAACGACCACCTCCATGGGGACAAGATGTTGATCCGGAAATAGCTTCCAAGTTTCCTCGGAAAGGAGGTTCGTCCGCACCGCTCCAGGGCACAGAGCATTGACTCGAATGCCGTCCCTTAAAAAGTGAGTGGCAATGGAACGCATGAAACCAAGCACCGCATCTAAATGCCAAGCAAGAATAAATGTCAGCTCAGGAGAGAGATGCCATCTGTAGTGGGATGAAGACATCCATGAACGCACGTTTACTAGCTGCATATATTGGTGTGAAGCCTGAGGGATAGAAAGACCCCGTGCTTCCGGTCACAACCAAGCAACAGCCCTTCCCTTGGCCTGGTGATTGCCGGAAATACTGAAGTGCAAGGTAGCTGGCATAGATGACGCCGTTCACATTTACATTGATTGTGGTCAGGTCCAATCCAGGAGGCATTTCCCCCTTGGGCTGTCTTGCGTAGAAGTCGAACTCCTCTACAACCCCTGCATTGGCAAAGACAAAGTCCAGACGACCGGTCTGCTTAAAAATAGCATCGAAAGTCTTCGCGAGATCGGCGTAGTCGCTGACGTTCGCCCTTAAGAATTTGGTCTCAGGAATCTCCTTAGTGGCTTGCAGGCCACGTTCTTCCTTCGATCCCAGAAGGTAGACGTGCCATTCTGCGCGATGGGCGAGGGCTTTACCTACTGCAAGCCCTATACCGCTTGCTGATGGTTCAGACGGGTGTTAGTCCTGAGCTACTTCCGCTATAAGAGGTGTGATGGCATGACCGCACAATACCTGTGCAGTACACTTACTGCCGCCGGTTATGACTGCCACCTTGATGTTCGTCATTATCCCTGTGTTCTATGATTTTTTGGACATGTGATGGGAAGGGACTAAGCCAGACTTGGGGAAGTTGGGGGGTTAGGAGTGCCCTGATCATTGTGGAAAGCCAGATGGTGTGGGGGCTATTTGAGTTTATATCCTCCGTACTCCGTATATGAGGTTGCTCCACGGACTTAATTTGGTCGTCAAAGTGCCGCCTAGGTTGCTAAAGAACTGGTGGATGCTGGATACTCTCATAGGCTGTACCAGCGAAAGTGGGCCATGGATTAGATTGAAGATCAATTACCAATCGAGTGTGAAGGTATGAAGAACGATTGTGGCTCCAGTCGACCGATACGACTCACCTGCCCCTCCTGAAGCACCAGCTTCAGGTAACCCCTAAGTCCAATTTCTGTCTATCTCTGTAAATCGGATGAAAGGGTTGTAGGAAACGATGGTTCCATTATAATCGAGAGAGATTCGATTCTAATTTACTGCCGTTATGCTATTATATATGGGCCTGAGAGTGAGATGCATAAAAATGTTGCATCATGCATGATTCGAATAGCGCGATGTCTGTGTCTTGCGGCCGACTCCTTTCGACCCCAATGTAGGTATGCATACTGAGTAGGTAGTCATCAGTGTTGCTGGTTCGGAAGATGAGATGAAGTGATTCTCGATTCGTACAGTCCAAATCGGGGTGCTATCCTCACCTCAGCGGAGTGAGACGGAGAGGCGCAAAGCAATATATCTGCTCTCACCAGGGATGTACGGGCTTAGAAGGTAGACGACAAGAAACTATACATTGAAGGTGAGGAGCTACCTTCAATCTATGCAGAGTGCAAGACGTTGAGTAAACCTGACAGCTTAAAAGATGCAGACAGATGAGCGGCCTGAGATGAAGCCGACATAGCGGTTGTCCACCAACTTCATCCACTCACCTTATCTTCATCTATTTCAATTACCAGAGACCAGTCATAGAAGCCTCACTTTTGAGGTAATCAACTCTTGGATATCTCAATACGGCGAAGGGCCCTTTCAACATCCCCGTTGGTCCACCCACGAACCTGCGTCTCTTATTACCACAACTTTGCATGACACCCGAACCACACACTCTTCTTTACAAGCAATCATGTCCAAAATGCGCGACAATCACGAGTTAGCTACCTACATTGACACTCAGGGCCACCGTCGAGAAACAAGCCAGCGAAGAACAGGCCCACGAGCTCGGGGTCGTCAAAACGCTAGTCTCTTACTGCAGCTTCCAACAGAGGTACTTGCCTTGAGTTAATTGCTAGATGGACTAGTGTCTGACGACCTCAACACAGATAATTCAGTATATTGCATATCTTCTCCCGAGCGATGTCGATATAGCCAATCTAGCGTCGTGCTGTGTCCACCTAGCCAGGGCGATCTTACCGGCTCACTCGTCCATCTGGCGCCAGCGATTCAAGGACCTTTACGGTATCCCTCAGGGACGTTCTTCAAGTGAGCTCAAAGTTGAGTATCAGATTTGTTCAATTGTGCTGTCTCAGAAGATCAACTTCCGATACGGTCAGAAGAAGGAGCAAACATTGTGGCTGGAAGTGCTGAGAGACATACTTCTCGAAGCACTTGAATCAGCCTCCACAGACGAACACGCCGCCTCCAAGCTCCTCGAGGCGATTCGTAAGACACTGTACAACTCGGAATTCCTTAACCGACCTTTGAGCGGATATGGCAACACGAAGGCCGATGCGCCTTCTGAGTTGTTTTGCGCTGTTCAGCTAGTAAGCCCTTCACCTGGGATATTCGTCTCAAAATTGGATACAGTCTCATCGAATATTCTAGTGCCTCACTCATTTGGCGTTGGACCCGTCTATGGCCTTCTATTGCCTCAGGAATGACTATGATATTGGTGCTGTATATTCATTCCAGGTCGATATTAGTGAGCCGCTTGTGAACGTAGAGAAGCTGGATCTGGAGAAGATTTTGCACATTCGCAACTTCTGGCTTCGCCATCTCCTCAATCCGAACGAAGTGACATTCTACTCCTCCTATACATCGCTGTGTCAGCGACCGAAAGCCACCCGACCTCTGGCCGACAGCAAATTTTGCCTTAGTACTTTTTGGTTGGGGTACTACTGTCAGTTATGAAGGACTCTTTGTTCTGCTGAGCGTACTACAGAAAGAAGCTAACCTGAAGTGATTGAATCTCTTGTATAGCGTGCATCCATCCGTATCCAGATTCGCTGAGTCGTCTGGAACACCGTCAGACATGCGCCGATCTGGAGACACATTTGCCGCAGGTCGACCCTATGGTAAGGTCTACCTACCCATCAGTCAATTTATAGGTGGCTGAGATTGATTTCACGTTTAGACTTTGCGAATCAAACTAGATCCTGACCCGTTGAATTGGCCGACCTTATTCGACTCCATCATGCCTATCATAGGGTCGAGAACGCATTGCTCGTACTTTCAAGGCATTGAGACACAGCAAGGATCTGATGACGATTCAACATACCTGGTGCGCGGCTTTACAGAACCCATTCCCACGGCTTACGGTGGCTTCCCCAATTGGCGCCGTATATGCTTTGCCATATACGATGCGGACAGGGAACAACTTCCGCTCATACCAAACGATGACGAGACATCTGGAAAGGGAAAGGAGGATCTGTGTTTTCCACAGGAAGCGTGGCCGCCATATGATTTGGAGGTCGAATTCAATTGGATCCATGGATACGAGGGAGTGATTCTCCCCAGTGGAACGATCATGATGGGACGATGGATTGATATGATAGAACCGACTGCCCGAGGCCCTTTCATTTTCTGGAATGCGTGAGGACTCATTTTGCGTTGAGACACATCGCAAGTTTCGGCGGGGTGTACTTCTTGCTGCTTCGATAATCTCGTCTTTCCCCATGATTCGCTGTTTTCAAAGTTTCCCTCCGTCGGGATGAAATGCAAAATTGAATGCAGGATGGAGACGTCTTAGTGGACCAGTCTTTTTTGACCATTTAATAAGATGGGAATATGATAACAGGCAAATGAAAATCAACGAAGGAAGGATCAAATCTACTCCTCAATGTCCTTTACCTTCTCCCATTGTCCCTTCAGATTCTCCTTCCACAAGCTGACCTTGTTGTCCCCTCCACTTACAGCAAGGATGTTTCCACTAGGGCTCCAGCTAACCCGCCACAGGACAGTGTCGAATTCCAGCTGCTGGCTGGTCCATTGGCCGGGGTTCGATGCATCAGAGGTCCAGATCCGCACAGTCTTATCCTGAGACGCAGAGGCGATATAAGACTTGGACAGAATGCTGGGTGACCAGGCAACGTCACGGACCCAGTCCGAATGACCTTCCAACGTCTGGCTGAGGTTGTAAGTCTTGCTTTCCGGGCTATAAGACCAGTAATTAGTAAAACCGTCGGTTTCAAATCCAGGAAAACTGGCAATCGTCTCAGGCAAACGTACTTGTAATCCCAAATCTTCAGCAGATTGTCACTGCCACCGGTAACGAATCTCCGCTGCTGACCTGGACCAGGGTTCGAGCTGATCAAGCTACCGGGAGACGCTGCCGGGGCCCAACTAATCGAGTTCACGCCCATTCCATGAGCGTGGAAAATCTGATGAGTCCAGCTGTTGTCGCGGAACTCGAGGACACTCACATGCCCGTCTGAAGAAGCGCAAGCGAGGAGACATCCGCTCTCGTGTGGAGCCCAGGAAACCATATTCACGGAGGCAGTGTGGAGGGAGAAATCGAAAACTTTTGTCCAGGTACTGCCTGCAACGGGGGATGTCACGTTTTGGTGTTGTTCACGCCAGATAAGCACTTTTCCATCATACGAAGAGGAGGCCAGAATTGTGCCAAACTTGGGGTGAGCCTGAGACGGAAAGTGGACAACATATTAGCCATGCAAATGAAATGGAGACTCCGCACGAGATGGACCCTCAAACCTACCCATGCCACACACCACACCGCGCCTTCGTGGCTTTTGATTCCGAAGATGCCCATGTTAGCGTTTAGAAAGTTGAGCCAGTAGAGTTGAGGCGATTCACCCTTTCAGCGTTTCAACCAAGCGATGTGTCTCCCCCTCAATCTCGAAAATCTTTATTGTCTTATCCGACGAACATGTTGCCAATCTGCGGCCATAATAGTCCAATCCGGCGTCGTGCTGCAAGTAAGGACCGGCTCAGTTAGTTCCTGGGGTTGTGATGCAATATCAAGAGGCCTACATGGCGCATTATCACGTACAATCATATCATCATGACCAGAGTTTGAAATAACTTGAGCAGCTGCCTTTGGAGACGTCAACAAGAGCACAATGCGAAGCTTAAGGGGAAGAAGAGCTGCTGGAAATAAACATACCATGATGACCAATGGGACCGCTCGAAGCAAGTATTACTGAGACAGAGAAAAAAAAAATTCGCTCAAGGTAGCAGAAGAACAATTGATTGCACAACCTCGCTGTATTGATGTTCTAGACGAGTCCGGGAGGGGGGAAGATAGCGGCGGTGGAGGGTCGAAACAGGCAGGTAGGTACTCCGTACTCCGTACCGCCAGCTTGTCCGTTTCACTGTACCTCTGGTAGGAGGAGCCGCACAAGTTGTGATCTTATCTTATCAGCTGGAGGCTGAGTCAGCGCCCTCCGGTCGCGCATAGGAGCACGTGAGACGGGCCTCGGCTTTGACCCTCGGTCAACCTACCCCACGGGCGCTTCTCGGCGTGTCCCCCGTCTTTATCTTGCCTCTTCGTCCTTTTGCATGAGTAGTACTATAGTTCTTCAGTCACTTTACTTTTCTGCTTTTTGAATAGATATATCTTGGGGCATTTTTCTCTTCTGCACCTCCCCACAGTTGAGGCGTAGCATATCTTCTGTCCTACCATTGATCACCCATACATTGTCTTCTCTTCCACCTTCCAAGGACTTGTTCTCCTCCCCCAGCTACCGAGTTTCAAATCATCGACAGTATGAGTGATGCTTTGTGCGGACCATCAAATGCCTTGCAAAATTTCCAGAAACATGCATCTGTTGATAGGACTCTTCAACAGGATCGGCTGATCTCCCGGCAGTCGCCCTCTCAGGTGAGCAGTGTTGCGACTCTCCCGGAACGCTTTTTGATTTGGATCAAACCGTTTGGCTGAACCTTTTTCTTTGACAGGGCTTTAGATCACAGAATTCGAGCGACGGTGTCCTAGATTCCGAGTTTACTACTTTTGAGTCCAATCAAGCCGGACCATCTCTTCCCAATCTACAACATTCAGGACCTTTCTCAACACACACCCCCCAGCTTCCGGTGGCCAGCCATGCCGAGAATGTGACCTGGGCCGCAGACTTTCAGAGACTACAGATCTCAGGACCTTCCCATCCCGTCCAGCAGCATCATGGCCCGTCTCCAGCGTCGGCGATGTCACAACAAGGTTGGCACAATGAATTCCTGAATCAACAGCAGCAACGCCCAGCACCTATCCAGCAGCATCAGCAGTATACCGGAGGCTTCCAACCGTCTTTCTCACACCATTATCCCACGCATGGAGGGGTAATGAACGCTCTGCCCTCTGTACATGAGACGGCAACCAACCAGCAACAGGCCACAGAGACATTTGATGAATCGGCTTTCGAAGCTGCATTTGAACAAGCGAGAGCGGACATGGCCTTGCAGGAAACGAACTTAACGGGGGAAAAGGTTGAGCCTGTCAGCGAGACGATCGAGCCGGATTTAAGCACTGCTCAAGAGCCCCCGGAGCAAATCAAGATCGGGTCAGATACTATACCACAAATTGACAAGAACGACCCGCTAAGCCGGCTTGACGATGCGGATGACCTCGCTAGGACCGCAGGACAATTACTTGATAGTGTCAGCCACGATCAGAGCGAAAAGTTCAGACAGAGTAATTTCCTCGCGCTGATGCGTCGCATCCGGGATCGCGAAGTTCAAATCGAGGGTGACGAGTTTCGTGAAGTCAGTACCAGTCCGTGATCTCTCATATTTCGGCTGGCGTGACACGAACGCTGGTAAAAATTGGTCTAGTCATATCGGCTCTTGTTCTTGCTAATTCATGACCAGACGTCGCAGTCACTACATCCTGGCGGTAAATATTATCCCGGTGGCCAGCAACAATCGCAGCAGCAACAGACATCAATACCACCACATCAGTTTGAGCCCGGTAGCGTTGCATTCAGCGATATCAGTAAGTCCGATACATTGGAGGGGCCCAGTATACTGCATACGGGATGACAGTGCACCTGTTGGACATCAATCGAAGGCCTGACGCAATGCAATGTGCCAAGCAGATCCTCCGCAAGTGAACCCTTCTATACCGGACACCGTCGATTCAATAGCGAATTCGAAAGAAGCGCCCAGGGATATACCCAGTGCATCATCAACTGGGGCAGGGTTGGGCGACGATAACTCTCTCTATGCGAGCTGGAATTATGGCGGAATTTGAGCCTATCTGGTTATTGGACATTATACCCAATTGGTTTTCAGCCGTCCCTTTTTGAATAAACATGTGAGACTAAGGAGCATTCAAGGTGTGTTGAGCTCAATTCAATCTTGGACATGGCAGTGGGTGTACTTCTTTTTGGTAGCATTCATTGCCTCATTTGTTTGTTCATAGAGTGATGAATGTTTCATTACCTATCTTTCTGCATCTACCCATCTTCCAGCCTCCATCATTGACTGGGATTGTATCAATAAAATCGTTAACCTTCTGCTATTTTCTATCCCTTTTAGAACAATTTGACTGGGCTGATGTTCAGGGGGGTTGACAAATACCTTGACCGCACGTGATCCTATTCTGCCTATGGAGGTGTGGTGCAAAAGTCATTGTCGGACCCACATACCTACAGCCAATTAGCATTCAGAGATTGTATGTAGCAGGTCACGTGACTGCCGAGGACTTTTGCACCACACCTCCGTATTGATGGGGAAGAACAATACCAAGTCAATAAGGAGGCTGGGGGCATTGTTACCAACCACACTTTATTTGTTAGCAAAGGAACACAAGTGCCAGCATCTATTGCTGTACCGCGTTTATTCGCCCGACTATTGGGAAAAGTGGGCTGTCGTCATTTGCACTGCATCAATAACATCTTGCATGCTATTGTTCCAACTGACGTTGAGCTACGTGCTGCTGATGTCTATCATGGGTTATATAACGGGCAAGATCTCATCTTGCTTTGAGAGATAGCTTCCTCTAATCTATCCTCAATCTACTTCCTGTGATACCGTCCTAAGTACGCTTCTTCAAACCACAGCATCATATCTAAGTTCTACTTCCCAAGCCTTGCCTGCGCATTGCCTCAGCTGCCGCTATACCTTTTGGAAGACATTTTGCTTGTATAGAAAAATGCTGCCACCGTCGGATTCTTTCTTGCATCACTCCCACAAGCTTCGAGAAGTGGCCGCCAATACGCGCAATCGCGTCGTCTGCACACCACCACCCCCATACTCTTCAACAGTCCCACGAGGTTCACCCCAAGGAGAGAGACAGAATGTCCTAGAAATCGACGACGAGGAAACGGCCTGGGATACCTGCCCGAATGCCAATTCCAGTCCTATTACGATTAGCATTGACGCCTCCATTAATGTGGTGGGCAACGGCAACACCATCATGATCCCATCTATGGCGGGCCGTCCTCAGCAAACGCCGAGCGCTTCTAATTCAATGAATTCCGAGATTCCATCTTCCTCTTCCTCTTCTTCCGCGTCATCAGCAGCTTCTGAGACGGACGCTTTGCATTCGGTTCAGAAGCAACGCCAGGCTAGACTGACCGAAATGGCAACCTCCATCATCAATGCGTTGTATGATTCGGGCCGGCTAGCACCCTCTGCAGAAGACCAAGAGACCGCACCGATTGAGATCAAGATCAACACAGGAATCAAGGTCGAGGGAAGTCGCAACGCTATTTGCGTTGGTGCTACAGTTCGGGCCCAGAGCAATAAGAGTGCCCAGATGGGAACGGAGAAAGATCGACAAGTCATTTCAAATCGAAAAAGACGAGCTCTATCAGTATGTTATTTGCACCTTTGCCGCCAATCAAGTTGCCGGATCGTGACTTCTTTGGCTAACAATCTGACACAGGAGCCTCTTGAAGTACCGAAGTTCAAGAAAAATTGTGCGGAATAGTCGCGGAGAGCAATTCAATACTGGCATCTCCACGGACGCTCATGTTTTCCATATGTGATGTCTTGATACAGCTGGTATTCAAAATGCATCAGGGCGTTTGTCTTTGAAAGGTCTCGCATAAGCATCGATAGAGAAAAGCACTCCTTTTGCTGTCTATCCAGACGTCCCGTGCCTCTGCAGATTGTACCGTCAGCGATATGTACCACCACTAATTGAACCATTAATACTGTTCTATGACGATCGATTGAATTCCAGTTCAAGAATATTCCTTTCATTATATCCTATGCCGAAGCTGCCCATGGCAAGACCTATAATTGAGCTTTGAAAGCTTGATGCGCTCCTCAGAATATTACAGAAAACAGCGTCAAATTGACCTGCTTCAAAGACCCAAGGAAAAGCAGATCGGACGAGTTCCAAGTAGAAAGTGAACAAGTTGCCGGTATTGAAATCCGATCAGGTGAAATGGTTCTCTTGCAGAATACAGCTATAGAAGTAAGTGGTTTCAAACATGTCCGACCAAATAATGCTCGATTCCACGAGGAAAGGCAACGTTTCAGACAACGCGGCCGGCAGCTAATGCTGGTGAGGGTAATTAAGCTGGAAATTGAAATGTCAAAATCATATGCGCCGCATTCCTTGCCTCTTTAAAGGTTCATGAGAGATATCGTCCCAAACTCAGGAAAAGGAAATGAAAATAGAAAAACGAAAAAGAGATACATGACCGATGTCGCAAAGATCATGCAGAATAGCTGTGGGAAGAAAAGGACAGCTTCATGGTGCTGGCTGTTATGAATGAGTCCCTTAGAGATATCGATTGTGATCGAGCTAAGTTTGATGAATCGATTGGCTTGGTTTATGAGGATTCAAATTACGCCGCACCGATGGACACTCTGGGGAGTACCTAGATATAGGTGGCAGCCAGCTTTGGTGATTACCGACCAACTGGTACATCGTGACGATGCAAGTCTCTTGACCATTCCGGGGTGACCTTGTCACGTTCGTACAATAGGCCACAATTGTGGCAAAGAGTCTAGATATAATAAGTTAGTGCAATGACTCGAATCTCAAAATGTTGCAGGAGCTTTCTCACCCTTGGACCAGCAGGACCATCTCGTACCGCCCAGACCGCAGAACCCCATACCATACAGTTGCTGCATCTCCAACTCTGGCGTTCCCTGAAAGCGAAAAGAGCAGGTCAGCACAAGTGAATGATGACCTGATACACAATCGGCAAGCATACCAATCCGATAATGTACCTCCACCTCCGCCATATCCAGCCCCCGAGCCGGTATCCGGTGTGCCTCGTCCCCCAGGAGTGCCTCCCCTTCCCGATGGACTTAAGCTGCGGAAGCGCCTCTTTCGTTTACTCCTTTCGCCTCTACCCAGTGGTGTCTCACTATCGACATCGAAGTAACCACTGCCCTGCCGCGACATATCGGGTGTGATGCCTGCGGTGGAAGAAAACCGAGCCGTTTCTCGCCGTAAACGTCTGATTTGGCGCTCGCGGTCTCCTTCTCGTTTCTCAATCTCTTCCTTCGAAAGGGTCTCCACCTTGGGTTCCCATTCATCGCCTAGTCCTTCGGGATCATACCGCCAACCAGCCTCGGTGCCATTGGCAGCTTGGTTATCAATCTCATTTCCGTACCCACCCATGCTACTGATCATTCCTCCGCTCTCACACACTTCCTTCTTCAATTTCAAGACAGCTTCGTAGATGCCATGCGCGATGGCTCCAACCCATTCACCGCCCAGGCCTAGGTCGGCGCAGGTGACTTGCGCGAACTCCTCTGCCATGCCGGGAGGGTGTAACAAGGACCACTCAAACTTATCTGTGTATAGCCTGTTCTGTAGATTGATGTTGAGGTTGATCAGGCACCGGTATGCATCGTCCGGATTTAGTATACTGTCGTTAACTAGCGCCTCTTTTGTTACCGAAACACCAATCGCTCTGTTGTCGGGTGTCGCAGCTTGGGTAGGAACTGGTGTTGCGGACACATCTCGGGAGGGGATCGTGTGCGAAGTGGGAGCGGGCTTCGATTGTGTACTTTGAAATAATGGATGTAGGGCAACACCAGCGTACTCCTCTAACTGCTGGCGTATCTGATTGCTGATTGCCAAAGTCATCGCTTGGGGGTTCGGTAGGTCCAAGTCTCGCACGAAACCCATCGCAAATTCTTCAGGAGTCGCCAGAGCTTCATGAAGGTTCCAGAGGAATGTATCTTTGATGCGAAAGGCAGGCAGGGGATCCGGTCTTCGGTATCCGGGAAGGGTAGGGTTGATACCAGGATCCACCACACCTCGCGGCATGGGGAATGGCTCGAGAGGCTGATGCGCTGGGACCTCCAAGTCGATACGAATCGGTATGAGGGTCAGGGGGAGCTGCGCTTGAATTTGTAGTTGGTCGGCACAACTGTTATGGCACGAAAAGTTCGGTCAGCTCGGTCGCGAATGCCCTTCAGGGGGCAGGCAAGCACGGAGGAACAAGTCAAACAATACATACGCTGGGCGCAACATCCTCTTAATCATCCAGTCGCGAAAAACTCCCTGGACCTCCACAGGGGCATGGATTTCTTTTCCCAACTTCTCCACCAAGGGGGTCTTGTCGGCCGTCGACTCTTCGCGCCGTAGACTTCTCAGACCAGTGGGCCTTCTAGGACCCTCGCTGTCGTCAAAGTCATCATCGTCGAAGCCATCCTCCGCGTAGTTCACCGCAGTAGTGCCTCGTTTCGTCGTTCGCGGCGTTGGGCCAACTTGAGTCTGCGGAATGACCGGCGTGAGCAATGCGTTCCCATACTGGCGTATTCGCGGAGGATAGGAAGTGATATAGCCTCTGAGGGGGGACATGTTGGCCGTTTAGAAGGACAAAATCATGTCCCTCACAAAGCGTGCGAGAAGAGCTTGCTGAAAATGCGAACCAACAATGGCCTGGAGTTCAACTGATTAAGGAATTGAATTCGATTATGACGGAGTTTTGCGAATGTGATCAATCCAGTCGCCTCAAGAGTCCGATGGCTCTTACTGGATTTGCGATGTCCTGCAACTCTGGTCTGTCGAGTCGATATCAAACAACCTGATCTTCAAAGAGGTTGCTAAAGCTCCTTCTGTATGGTGATCGCGGTCAATGCTCCGCCTTTTTTGCCTTGTCGCGTTTCTGATCTACGCTAGACCAGATCTAGCAGCGCAGTCACGTGCATCACATATTGGAGATTCCTAGTAATAACTTCAATTATAAGACCTAAAAGTGAGGATGAGATCAGAACAAGGAATTTCTATCACTGGTTTTTCTGATTATGTGCACATCTGAGCCAAAAAACTGCTAGAGCTGGAATATTAAACCAACAACTGAAAACAGCAAAGTCAGTGCTCTTTTATCTTTGGTTGACATTTCTGACAAATTAACTACTGTTCATTTGTAATGTTGATAGCAAGAACTTATGTGAATTATATGTATGACATATGGAAGAGGGAGGAAAGTAAAGAAAGCAATAGAGTCCCGCCAGCTAGTGAAAACAATGAGCAGAATACACAAGCACCCAATAAATTAATACGCCATTTCGCTTGTCTGATGCAGACATGGAAATAAGGGGGATATCGTCAACTCGGCAAAAGATAAACTGAAGTGACAGGTGAAGGACAAGGGCCTTTTTTTTTTTTTTTTTTTTTTTTTAAATCTGTACAGCGTCATGGAGGGGGTAAACAGAGGATGCGTTGGCTGCAAACGTGTCGAATCACCGAACGAAGACTATCGGAGTCCAATGACGCTCTGTCGAGGTATTAGACCCATGGCAATATACCAGAGCAAGCTAACTTACCATTTCAAGCGTCCACACTCTCCGAATCCACACTTTTACTTTGCCTTCGAACCCCTCGACATTTTCCAGTTCGACACCCTCCCACCAGCATCTCCGGGCTGGTTTCCTCCAGAACAATAAGAGTTTCTGTGCCATGCCGACTGCATTGTTATTCGACAGGTCACCTCTAATGTCGGTGCGAAGTTTAGCCAATGCAAGGCTGCAAATGACCGCCTTGTTGGGTTCGGGAGCACGGTGACCCCACCGGTCGTTCCTCTCGAAACCACTGCACTCGGTGAATATACTTGCAGAGACTTTGATAGAGGTTGATGAACTTACCCTGCAGTGAGCATCTCAATAAGATGTTGCTCCGTCGATCCAGCTTCATCGCTCTTCTTCAGACCGGAAAATATGCCGTCTTGTTTAAGAAGTGCTCTGCCGGCGGCACGCTTGACCTCCATCATCTCCGTGTGATCGATGTCAGGACGTGGTGGTATCGCATAGAAATCCAGGTCCTCGCGTAGGACAATGATTCCGGCCCGATCTTGTAGTATGTCTCTTGGTGATCCCAGCACGGTTTCAGACATTTCTAACTCCGGAGAAGTCGACGCAGAAGGTGAGGACGACGGGATCGACTGAGCAACTGAGCGGAAGAAATCTAACATGTACTGGAGAGATGTCGGATCATACTAGGATTGCAATTGTGAGCCTTCGGCAACAATTTGGACATAAGGAACGGCGGAAAGACTTGACGTACGTCAACGGGATAGATGTCACCCTCTTGAAATGTGCCCATATGTCCATCAGGAAGAAGACCGTTGGGAAATAGTGATAGGAGGACAAATTCAGGCAGGGTCAACAGCTCATCTCTGGAGAGTGTAAACCGAGTACCTCTATGTAAGGAATTAGCATTTCCCGAAAATAACTTTTGTAGGGCTGTCACAGGGATGTGCCCTCACCGCAATTCAAGAGTGATATGCTCGTCACCACCGATGTCTAAAGTTTTAAGGACACACACTGTTAGTGAACACTCGAACTACAAAAACTGCGTTGGTCCATCGCAATTTCATTTTATCAATAGCCAAGGTCGATAGAGCTGCATACCTCCTAATGTGTTGATAGGGGGCCCTCCTGCTTGTTGCACCTGAGTGATAATACTCGACGGGCCTCCTGCCGCAGCCATCACGTATGTGAATGATTCAATGGGAC